CAGGAAACAGTTATGCGCATGGAGTGGCCAGCTCGATCCCCGGACTTGAATCCTATTGAGCACATTTGGGATGCTTTAGGGAGACGTCTAGCTGCTCTCAATGCGCCCCCTCAGACCCTTGTCACGCTTGTAACTGCTTTGCAAGAACAATAGCTCTCGCTTCCTAAGGAACTGATAGACCGCATAATTGAAAGCATCACACATCGCTGTATGTGATGCTTCTAGAGGCGATCATATTCCATACTGAAGGTACTTTTCCTATAGCAAACCGACACCTTCGATTTGTTCATTTTATACATCTGATAATTTCTATACTACCATATTTGTCTGGTAATTTCTTTTCATGTTATTTAAATATTATTATGTTTTATGTTTATTTGATACCTTACTTTGTATTGTATATTGTGGGTAAGTTTCATTAAATTCTACATGTAACTTTTTTCAGTAATCGTGATTTTTTCTAATTTATGATAACCAGTGTAATTACTTATAAGTTTGCTAACTTAAGCAAAAAAAAAAAAAAAAAAAAAAAAAAACTTAGATAGGCGCAGATTTTATATAAAAATTTAAAACATTAGTATGTAAAAGTTCTTGGATTTTATATGAAAATCTCCGCAAATCTAGGCTTTATTCCTTTTCTTAATGCTATACATCAACATGTTCCCTTTTTTATATAGACTTATTCATTAATTATCAGTATGCATTTCAGTGAAAGGAGAAAAAAATCTGTCTCTCGCACTCACACAAAAAATCTTAAGTAACTGAATTAAAATCATCTGACATTAAATACCCAGACTAAAGCAAATTTTCATTTCACGAGTTGGTCAAGGAAAATTATTTTCCTTTTTATTCTTTCTTCATGTTATGTACCTTTCAACTGGTTCCCTAAGAATGTGCTTTTATTTTTTAATAATTAATCCAGATGTGATAAAAATCATCATGAATGCATTGGCTCCTAGAATCCTTTATTTTTTTTAAACTTTTCGGATTATCCCCCCCCTCTCTCTAAATTTTTTATTTTTAAGCACATTAAATTTATTGGGAAGGGCCCAGGAAAATTTGTTGCATAGGGGCCCAAGAGTTCTAGTTATGCCACTGCTTATGTACTCCCTCTTTTAAAGGGCGACTGGAGGTTAGGGGACCCATCACCAAATCCTGTTGGTGCAGAATCATCATCCACCACCGTTTTTTAGTTCGGGCGAAACTGTAGGGACATTAGGTTATTTTGAAGGAGGAGACAAGAAAAATGAGCAATGCCCTCGCCGGAACTCGAATTACGGACCTCTCAAATTCACCTCGAGCCTGCTGACCATTACACCACGAAAGCATGCTAAGAATGCAGAAGAAATACCTTATTAGCTTAATAAAAAAAGAGATATTGATAAATATATATCAAATTCAATTAACATTAAGGAGCTAAAATTTTGAGAGCTAATTTTTTAAAAACTACTCGTGCAATTTTTACAAAACTTGGCAGTTTGGCACAATTTGAGTCATAGAATCGAAATATAGAAATATAAAAAAAAAGAGGTATGTTATATCAGAAAAAGTATGGTTTTGTATCAAAATACTGACGTTATAACAATGATATATATAAGCCTAAGATATATCCTAAATCGCGCTTTCAAGACATGAAAAACTCAAGTTAAATTTCGACAATTGGTCCAGTAGAATTTACAACTGTCCCTCCCTTTTTTTTTTTTTTTTGTGCAAGGTGTATCTTTGAAGAATAATAATTTTCTGTTTCTTTCTAAAATCAATTTCTTTTCAATTAATTTCCTCTTGATTTCAGAATTAATTAAAGATTTCTGTTACTCAAAAGAACTGCTAGTACTTAAAATGTATAGAACAAACTGCTAATTTTATTTCTTAAATAATGTGAGTACTGGGAATAAGTATGAAATGATATAAGGTCAAGGACGACACCAGAGTGGCAGAATTTTTAGAATTTAGTGAAGCACCAGATAACAACATTTTGGGCAAAGACCGTAAAGATGCAGTTGCCAGAATAGAATCATTTGTAACTTTAATGTGCGAAATTACTTCACTATTAAATGTAAGTTTACATAATATGTAATCACATATTCAACAGAAGTAATTTCTAACATGTAAATTAAATTTTTTATCTGGAAATTCCTGCACTACTATGTTAACTGCAGCCCCAACTAACAAATCTTCATCATAGCTTTTCCTACCCATCATAGCCATCTTTAGAATTCTATTTCACTATAATTCACATGATATACAGAATCAGAACACAAATAAAGGTTGGTTTTATAAACTTTTATGAAATGTCTTTAAACAAATCACTACTAACTAACTGAACACAAAACATAAAGTAATGGAATTTTTTGTTGCAGAAGAGTTAAAAACTTCTTATTATAGCAAAATGAAGCATATGAAAAAAGGAAAAAATTCTGTTAAAATCCGAAAACAAAACTGTAAATAATCATTCTTCATAAGATAAACTTACTAAAGCTTGCAAATAGTTCCATTGCTAGCACTTTTTTTTTTTTTTTAATAATTTTGGGGGTTGCTTTTTTATTATTATTATTACTCAGAAAATTGCCAGTTAAGTTGTTCACTGCTGAAGAAGTTACATTATACTAACACTCATTTTGAATGGTTCAAGTAGTAGCCACATCTCCATTTATTTTTGGTATTTTTATAGCTTTACAAAGCCTTGATTGACTTCTTTTAAAAATATAAGAAGAAGGTTTTATTTGTTGAGGGTTCTATTCCCCTAAAGATAAATAGCGTGTGCAATAAATGTTTTAAAATTTTTTCTTGTTTCAGTATTATGCAGCTATTGAAAATTGCTTGTTTTTCTTTCTTTTTAGAACTCAAGATAGTAATAAACATCAATATTAATTTCATCTGCTGTTGCTGGTAAAAAGCTGCACCTTTTTCAGATACCAAAGAAAAGTTGACAGGTACATATAATCTGCAAACCTGAGTTTTCTTTTTTCAGATGTCTGCACCAAATTATCCAGAGGAATTCCCCTTTCATTTAGAGTTTTAGTTTTGCTTTATGCTCATTGGCTGATGTGTGTCAAATGATCTGCAGCTGTGTTTGATGCCCACCAGAGAATTAGATCATGATGTGTTCAGACACATCTTACTCCTACACACACAATGGTAGCAGTCATCTATTTTTCTTTTTCTTTAATGGTAATCAAAAAAAAAAAAAAAAAGCAAATGATTTCTGATCCCAGAAATTGGTGTTTGGGATAAACTATAACAAAATATTAAGCCAAATTAATAAAAATTGTCAAAAATTTTAGGCGTAAGAGAAAGAAGGAAGAAATATGTTGTAAATCAGGTTGGTGAGAGTGCAGTCAAGAGTCTCGAGCCAAACTGGGAAAGATGGCAAATCTGCCAAAGTAAGCAACAGAAACATTTTTGAGAATTTGCAGGCTCAGTATAATCTATTCCAATAATAAATATGATTATGGCAATAAAACTAGTTACATGGAACTTTTGGTTTCCCAAAAATTTTTAGATGAGTACGTATATTTTATAAAATAATACAGCTCATTTGCCTCTTTGTCACTCTGTATTTGCTGAATTAGCATATTTAATTTCTTTTAAGAGCTTTTCTTTTACATTCTGAATTCAGTTAACTATTAGGTTCAATAACCCTAGATTTGACACTGTCTTGGCAGTGGAAATATCTTTCTCTCTGTGATTAAGTTTGTGGTTCTTCTTTTCATGGGACATTTACATACTTGCCAACATATGTCATGGAAAAATCAGGAGAATTTTTTCAATGACAAAAAGTTTTTTTTTTTTTAAATAAAAATATTGTGGAAAGAAAATATATTTTTTAAAAAATAAATTAACTTTAAATAGAAACTAATTTATATCTGAAAGTTCAGTTATTATTTCTTAAATGCAAATAAAAGAAAAGTACTTACATGTGAAAAAAAAAAAAAAAGAAAAAAAAGAAAAAAAGAAAGAAAGAAAGAAAAGGGTTTTATTATTTGTACCTCCGAACAATAGAAAAATACTCTAATCAATGCAATTCTGCACTGTAGAACTGCGTTAAGAAACGATGGCAAAATGAAGCGTGTAGAAAAGGAAAAAGCTTTGTTAAGGCCAGAAGACAAACATTCGTTCTTCGCAAGATAAACTTTAATAATGGGAAATATGTTCTTTGCCAAGTGTTTTTTTTTTTTATTTTGGTAAGGGCTGTACACTTATATTTTGGAGTATTATTTTGAGAATCGCCTAAATTGTTCACAGGTGCAAAAATTATTTAATTTTTCTCACACCAATTTTTAACAGTTAAAGTAATAACTACATCTTCATTTACTTAGGGTATTTCATAACTATCCCGAGAGCATTTTATCTTAACTCTAGAAGCATTTTTTTTTTTCCTCAAATAATGTAACAAGTGGGTTCCATTAGTCAAAGATTCTAGATAAACATTTCTCTAAAGGCAAACAGTGTGCACACTGCACAAAAAAAGGGGGGTACAGTTCTATATCTCTTGTTCTACTGGGCTGATTGAAGAAATTCAAATTGCGCTTTTCATGTCTCGAAAGTACAACTTGGGATATATATTACAAAAATTAATACAATATATAAACTATTATATAAACAAATAATTATTACAAAAATACTGTTATACTGTAGGGAGGGAGACCGACACCTCACAAGATAAACTAGTTCGACTACAGTAAAATTAAACAACAATCACATGAACTATTAAATACAGTACCAGTCCCAGAATACTTAGGCCATTCACAGACACTTATTCAATCTAAATTCAATGCAATAATAAAGCAGTTTGAAATAATGTTCAAATTATCAGAATATAACAGAGATATGTAATGAGAAAATATAGCTGGCAAAAGGTTGCCAATCAATCTCTCTGACATATGACTGCAACCTACGACAAAATAAGAAATACCTGTTAAGTTTTCCAATTAAAATAGAATTTTCCATTATGATTCATAAGCTAATTTATTTATTATAAAATAAAAATAAAATATTACTAATCAACAGATCTCCGTATGGTTTCCAAGTCTGAAGCCTGAGGTCCAGCTAATCTTCGTCGTTTGCTGATTCCTAATGCCGAAGTGACAGGGTGTGGCATTGGATGATGAATTGCATTATAATGCAGTTCTCGTAATAACTGGTGCAATGAATGTTCAAGAACAGGTTTATGCTCATTGCTATGTGCACCTGGAGAATTCTGAAAAACAAATAAACTAAATATCATAGAAAACTTACAGCAAATTGCTTGAAATATTTACTTTGTGAGAATTTATACAAATAAATATTGGAATGGATTAAAAAAATTTGCAAGTTCGTATATTTATGTGTTAAGTTAATAATTTAATGTTGGCATTATTGTAAAATTGCTAGGCAAAATATATTTTACTGAAAGTCATATTGAATTATAAATTTTAGTCATACACAACAATCTTTTGCAATTATTAAGGTGATCCTTCTTTCTAGGATATACAGAAAAGAAAAGTTTAAAGTGGAGGAAAAGTCTAACAAAAAAAGTCATATTAAGGCAAATTTCTTTCACAAGTCACAACAAAATAACAATTATTAACTTGAAAATAATTAATGATTAAATTTAACTTCTTGTACTGTCATTTAATCAACCGAATTTGAGGGATAGTCACCTATTTTATATTCACTGGTACAAGAAATTACTATAAAATGCTTATGATAAATTTATGCTTTTTTAAGCTGGTTTTCCCCTCACAATGGCATAGACAAATAAAAAATACCATCTTTCTACAATTTCTAAATTAGTAAACAAATTAATCACATAAATATATTTCTCATGATTATTTGTTTACTTAATAGATTTCATACTTATAATTACCAATTACATTTAGAAACAAGACATGCTAAATAAGATATGAAGGCATACTTTAATTCTATCCTGAATTGTACTATGGCACAAACCAATGCTTAGTTGAACACCAGGAAAAAGCTATAAAGAAGCAAATTATATTAATCATGATGCAAGTTATTGATTTAAATCCATATACAATAAATTAATTTATTTATTTAGAATTAATGTAGGGAAATACCATACATTTATCAAGCTATAGATAGTTCAACAAAATGTACACTTAGCCATCAAAACTATTATGTAATACAATAATTTATCTTGTTCAAGGTCAAAGAAAAAAATTATAATTAAAATGATTTAGTTATTAACACCTCAAATATATCTTAAAGGTAAACAAATGTTTCTTGTAGGTAAAAAGTTTTTATGTCACAAGACGTACAAATTAAAACTTACTGAAGTTGTTATCTGGTTTCCTACTACAAGATTAGGAATACTAGACTGCATCTGTACAGCTTCACTGGCTAACTAAAAACAAACAATGTAATTAATCATGAAATTCTCTAAAAATAGACAATGCAATCAATCATGAAATTTTCATAACTTTAAATCAATCATGAAATTTTCATAACAAATATTAATATTATCAAATCAGAAGGGATTAAAATTATGACTTTCAGTCTTTTATTTTTTAAATCTTCTCCTTTAGTAAACTTTGGTTCTAATTTATTTTGCAACTTATTCATTAAGAATAGAAAAATTAGAATTATTAATTAGAATACACTTACGCACTTAAATATTTCTTCAATTTCTTCAACTCTATGTAATGCATATTCAAAAAAATTTCGCATAAAAAAAAGCTTTCCCCCCCCCACTCTAAAATTATAAAACACATTATTAGTTATGTTTTAATATCCTATTATCAAGTCAAATAAGAAATTCTATAGTAATCGACATTCGTGCATTAATGTACAACAATTATTATTTAATTTTGGTATTAAAGTATTATTTTCTCAATACAATTTATGAATAAGATTTATATCAAACACGTAATAAATATAAGAATTAGAAAATAAATCATTTGTCATCATCCAAAACTACTAATGATGAGTAATAAAAAGTTCGAAAATGTGCTTTTGTCATAATTTGCATAGTCCCCATTTTAAAAAACATTATACTTTGAAACAAGATAAATAAAAAAATAACAGAAGCTCAGAGTTCTATGTTATATCCCCCCCCAAAAAAATTCACTATGCATGTTCGATAAACGCATTTTGAAAATGAAATTTGGTCTTAAAATTTTAAATTTTATACATCAAAATCCCATCCACTTTTTGCAAGCAACACTAAAACTTTAAATTTATTTATAAAGCTTTGATTTTAATTTTGCAGTACTGTTAGTCTTTTAATATTAGTAATCTTTAGTATCTGTTTCTAAAATTATTATGAAGAATAATATATTCTATAAAGAGAAACAAATAAACATTTCAAAAATAGTTTAAATTCTTTTATCTAATAAAGAACTATTTGCATTAAGAAACAGGCATTTATAAGACTACAGAATTCAAATTATTTACTTATTTATTTATTAGATACAAGTCGACCGACTTTTGATTTGTGTGTGTGTTATTTTTAGAAATATTATTGAATCTCTTCCTCTTCTTTTTCAACTGCCACAAACCAATTTATACATTTTTGAAAATCTTTAGTTTACACTCTTCACTTTTAAACAAACAAACAAAACAAAACAAAACTAGTTTAAGGCTGGAACCATTTATTTTCGAAATTTCAAATCAAATCGCAAAATTTTAGGTTTCTCACAACGAAGTAACATAGCAAATACTTTTTCTTAGTATAGCTTTGAGTAGAATACTCCATTACTGCTTTGTTTGGTTTATTTGATTATGGCTCGAGGGCTATCTGCCTAGTATACTCCATTACTAGCCCCAAGCTACTAGTGCATTCATTATTTTTGATATTTGAAGATTTGCTCCATAGCAAAACTTCGAATACTTCTACATGAACTTTAAGCAACATAATCAGAAAGTATTCAATATAGCAAAATATGAAAACAGCAGAACAGGGATATCTTTGTGGAGGGTCTTCTAATAGGAAACTGGCTCCCATTACATACAAGAAAAGACACAGCCACACACACTGACAATTACCTTTTGTCTCTTTTCATTAATGTCTGAATTCAGTTCTCTTAGCATTGTTTGTCTCTCACAAATACTTTTTAACATTTCATTAGATTTATTTTAAAGATTAAAGTCGTAACTTTAGCCTTTTCAGCAAGTTCACCTGCTTTATTTTCAAGCAATTTAACTTCTCTTTTTAAGAGAGTTTTCTTTCCTTTAAGAGAAATTCCATTCTGTTGAATTCTGCTCTTCTAGTTTTTATTTCGAATAATTCCTTTTTTTTTTCCTCCCTGCTCTTCCAAATATACTGTGACGATGAAGCTACCACTCTCATCTCTTTCATAATTGATACATTGTGTATCCCACCAGCATTTTTCACATGATCACAACCTATGCACTGGACAATGTATGAATTTTCCAGATTTTCTGTTTCTATATTTTATTGATACTAAATCCTTGTTCAAAAGAGGCTTGCCCATGGGAAAGAATAACGATCATTTTAAGTGTTCTCCATAATTTAAAGTATTTTTCATTAATGAATATGTACAAAAGTGTATCTAATCTCAATTTTTTTTTCACTTTGTAGATTTTAAATTCTGTAAAATAAGGCTGGACAATATTTTTGATGAAACTGGAATATTCCAAAAGAATGTTGTCACATTCTTCTTCTGCAATGTGACCATTTTAGAGAAAATGCATCAATAAACTTTAAATTTTCTTGTATGGTTTTGTGCTATATACTTTGGATTCACAGAAACAGCATTTCTAATTAGTAAATAATTAACTTGACATTTCTCCATCACCTTTTCAAGTAGCTCTAAAATAAAAGTTTGTGTGTCACATTTAAGAGAAAGGCAATCTTTATCCATGATTTCTTTTTAGTGTATAGTTCTTGCAAGAGCTTATCAGCCCTAAATCATAAACTAATTTTGCTTATTTCATTAACGATACCTTTCTCAGAAAAATCAAGGTTACACAAATATTTCAGTGACGAACAGATTTTTAACATATACTTTTATAATTCTGAAATGCTGCAAAAGTTGCTTTACTAATTTGAGTAAATCAAAAGCAAAAAAGGAACAAGTGGTTCATCACTTTAGTACAAGGTTTGAGCAATTCAGACACACAAATGAAAAAAAGAATTTTATGAACATTAATTTGTCTTTAATTGCATCTCTTATTATTGTAGCAGCATTTTTATATCTAGTTTTTTAATTGACATTTGAAGACTTTCAAAAACATTAGCAGCTATTGCATGTCCCATGAAAATAGAAGTAAAAAATCAAGTTACAACTTTATTTTGGTCAAACTGCCAATATCTGATATGCAAATCTAACTGCTTTTTTGATTTGTTTTGTTCAAAGTCTTGTCAAATAACAAGTGGGATAGCTTCTTAAACTCGTCATACATGAGACTCTGAAACAACGTGTTAATCCAAAATGGCAGAGATAAGCAAGGTTTCTCTCACTACAAAAAAGCGTCTTGCTATAATACAGTCAGGGAACATACTTGAAGACAGTTTGCCCATGCCGCTGCTAGATCTATAAGAGTAATGACTTGTCACCACTTTCAAACATCACGAAATTTCAGCAACCAAAACATCTTTTGAAGCTTTTACAGCATCATCTAAAGTATCCGAATTTTGCAAAACAGATAACACTTGGGGAACTGAAAGGTACAACACTAACAGGATTTGATTTGCAAAAAAAGCTTGTTATTCCACCAATAGCAGTGTTTCCCATTTTCAGAATTTCTTTATGCTTGGCACCTAGAAATAAATAGAATTTGTATTACATTTATTTATTTTCCACTCACATTAATATTTAAATAATTTAACTTAAATCAAAATTCTGAACATTTTCTAAATTTTCATTGCATGATTGTTTTCCCTTAACAGATATATAAGTAATTTAAGTAAAAATAAGTTTAAAAAAAGAGGAATATTTCTAAAATCAGAAGAGGGAAATTGTAACTAGTTTGTAAAGTAATTTCATGCAGTCATCCTTTAAACAGTAAAAGCTTAACTAACCGGCATGCTCAGAAATTGCCGATTGCAGGATATCTGAAAATTCTGGACAGTCGAGCGTAACTGTCAAAAGAGGGCAGCCTTTTTTTTAGATTTTTCAGCAAAATAATGCTTATGACATTTCAATATGTGCATTAAATATAATTTTTAAGAATATTTCCGTATCTTTCGTAACATCACAATATTTAGAGTACTAAATATTATGAAGATCTTAATTTAGCATTCAGTAGATATTAAATTTTGCTCTTGATTAAAAAAAAACTATGATCTGTAGCCCAATTATCACTGTAAATATATAGATTGTAAAAATATCAACATAAAAACAGGTCAATGAAACTGAAAAATACTCTGCTCAGCAAGCACAGTAAAACTCTTTAAAGTGCTCATAAACAAATCCCAGATTGAATATCAGAACTAATTATTTTTGCCAAACATACCAAATGGTATTGTGCAATATGCCCGTCTTAATTCTGCATAAAATTTCCAGAATAAAATCACTCTTTGCTTGGGTTGGTAGACCACAGAACTTTTAGTCTTATTCAGTCCATATTGGAAAGTGCCTCCCTTCCCCAAAAAATAGTCTGTTGCTTGTTTTGCTGCAAACTGTAACAATTTGAACATCTGAGATTTTTTGGAAAAAGGGGAGGATCCGGAATCTTAGGACCCCTTGCTTTTGTACTGTATAATTAACTGGCAAAAAAATTTTAAATGCAAGCCCAAAATTCCCAACTTTAAAGATGAATGAGAAATACAAAAATAATAACAAGGGGAAATATAGTATATAAATAGTATGAAAAAAGCTTTTTGAAAGCAGAAGATGAAAATTTAAAAAATAAATAAATCAGCAGGCCATGGGAGTTTTTGATTTTTTAATTTCACATGTTAGAAGTAATAATGATTAAACAGAAAAAAGTTTACTTACGATCCATGTGACACTTTAAAGTAGACTGTCCCATGCTTGTTATGTTGATTACACTATTACACCAGGAACACATGGCATTGCAATTATTTTCGCTTTGTTTAAACCATTTGAAATATTCTTCCTTAGAAAGCCAATCTGTGTGTTAAAAACACACTTACCCATTTCTGAAGTTTATCTATACTCCAGAATTTACTGCAAATATATTATTATAAATATTCATACGTATGCTTATTATAAGCATAATGATCATAATAAATGCAAAAGTGAACTAACAATGCAGAATGAGAATGCAAATTATTAAAATCTTGATAGAAATTCAAGTGTCTATAGTCTGTGGGTGGGAGGAAAAGAATGTGGAATGTACTGGAATTTTCTACCCCTTTCACAATTCTCTGACAAATAGAACAATGTGCAAATGTTTCTACTCGCACGAATCAAAGAT